TTGTGTTTTTGTAGGTTTTTCCGAGAGCCATAAACACCTCTGAAATCACTCAGTCCATCTTGTCAAACAACAGCAAACTCGACTTCTTCATCATGAGTGGCGACGTCAATTCAGCAACGGAATTGGTCAGCGGTATTGCATCTATTCTCAACTACGATGCAACTACGAAGAACAGCTCGGAAAGTGAGATAATTGAACGAAAACAGGTAAAATGGAATGGAAAATTGTGGGAAATGGCATAAAAAGACTTGTTTGCCATGATTACTTTGTATTTCGATTAGATAAAAGTGATGTTTATGTCTTTAAATCAGTTGAAAACACGCACGAAAGATTTTACCGAAACATGGTGCATTGTGGTCTAGCCTCGACACAGACCAATGCCATATTTGGTCTGATACAGACTAATGCCATATTTGGTCTAATAAACCAGAATGCAATGGGCTTGAAATTTGAATAATTTAGAATTGATAACTTCTTTTAGGCGCGCTCAGCCATTATCACCAAGATATCCCAATTGCCAGTTTTTACCCTGGAAGAAGTCAAGCAAATCGCTTGCAGCATCGCTGAAACCGCTCAAGTCAAACAGGAAGTCGAAGTTAATGCACAGGTACGTATATATGTTCGATAGTCCGCAGCCGCAGCCTTGTTGATTATAAGGCGCCATTGTTGCCTCACAAGCGGTAGACCTGCGTATCGAGCGTAGAATCTCACGTCGATCAAATTCAATGCAAATTAGTCCAGTCTTTTGTTTCCTATCACTATCGTCTTATTTGCACTGATTGTCACATGTCAGATTCCACGTTTAGCCCAGTCCTCTTAAACACAGTAAAAATATTTAAGGCCATCATGACGACCAACAATGGAATTTGGTATAAGAATAACTAGTATCATATCAAAGAATTGCTCCAGAAAAGTTGTCCTTCGTTTAGCAGCCATAGATGGTAATCTTATCTTATTTTGAAGTACGATAGGACTGGTTTTTGGTGATTTTTTCGACTTTTAAAGCTTGAAATCGTCTGAAACTTGCAGATATTATAGCGCTGGGTGATTTGAGAAAATGCGACTAGCCAATCAGCGCAAAGCTGACAAGCTTATGTTGTAAACATAACCCCCCGACAGGAGGAATTTGCACAGCAAAACTCGACCCAGTGGAGTAGGCTGCTTGCCATTTTATTCTATCCGAAAAGTCAAAGCTAAAACGCAAAGAAAAATTGAAAATCTTTATAAAATAGCTTTTATTAAATGTCAATCAAATATTTATCGTTATAGAAATAGAATTTTATCTTAAAAATTAATAATAAATAATGTTTTCTTTAATACCAAGAGCCTCCCCTCCCTGATAAAAATAATTGGTCTGTGTTCTACGCGGGTTCTCCATTGCATGCGAAGCAATGGACGACTTCACGAAGACTTCAGAAGGTCGTTGAAGCGAAGTTCAAGTCCAAAGTATCATAGGAGGAACCATTGCAAATCCTTTTTCTTAGCTCTTGTTTCATCTAAGCTTTGAGGTATCTACAACATCACTGAAAGAGCTAGAGCAGCTTAGCTCCACGTATTCCAATAGAGTTAAAGCGTTTGTTATTTTTGGTAGTGACAACAGTCGTAGTTCATCCTTTGCGGCAATAAGCCGCAAGCGTGCTCGACGGTGACAACAGGTTGACGTTATGTAACAGGCCGGTTACACATTTACTAGCTTTGACCTTACAACGAGAGCTAGTACGGTGACTGAGGTTTTTCACGTAATGTCTTGATAGCGACTGTTTATGTTGAAACGACTCAAAACAAGATTCCATCGTGAAAAAAGTTCGACTAAATTCCCTTCTGAAAAACACGTGTGTATTTAAGGTGGAAAATGTTTGATATGAGCATTCAATTCTTAAAGGTTTAATTCTATAATCATTTTGTTTAGTTATGTAAATAAATATAACACGACTTGTACTGTTTATCTGAGTGAAAGGAGAGCTGCGGGTTTTCCCTTTCCTTTATTTACATTTTCAAATATGACCGCTTAACAAAAATGCACGGGCTCACTGGCTTACAACCTTGGTGAATTCATATGCAGGCCTGGTCGCAAATCAATCACCCAGCGAAAACACTTCTCAACAATTGGCCATTTTGTTTGTCTCCATATATGGCATGGATTCGCTAAAGGAAGCTAAAATAAAAACAACAAGGGATCCCACACGAATGACATACAATTCTTTGATATGCATTGTTCTGCCGTACTCAAAATCATTTTTGAACTCGCTTTATACTCTATATCACAACATTTCTTACCTGAAGGTGGTGGCCACAAATAAAACCGACTTTATGACAAAGTTTCTTGTCGAGAAATCGCTTGAGGACGTTGGGGTTTCGGTGATAAAAGACGCTTGCAAAGACTTGGTGACCACAGCCAGCAACATCATATGGTCAGCGGCATACACTGCAGAATTTGGAAAGGAGAATATATCAACAAGTGACAAAGATACGGTAAGACAATAAACACAATCACAAACGTAACGTTGTATTGTAATAGAAGCAGCCCTGGAAAAGTGACACTGGAAAAGTGACAAAGAAGCCGAGAGCATTTAACTATGGGGCCATTGAGAAGGGAGAGACATGCGCGAAAGGGATGTCAGAGACGTGGAAAAAAACTCGTGATAAACATTGTGTTTTGGTGTGTGAAATCCGGAAGAAAAGAGTTACTATATACGTAAAATATGGTTGGATCTTGAAAAGCATAGTGAAAATTGTTAAGGAAGCACACAATTGAGCTCGTACCAGAGAGGAAATTTCTAGATATTATGAAACAAGAAAGGAAAGTTGACTCCTTTTTAGTTTCTCTTATATTCGTTTCGTTCTTTCTTTCTCTATATTTTGCTTTCTATTTGTTTTTTTCTCGTCTTACTTTATTMCCTCCAGCCCTCTGCTGTTCCATTTATTTCGTTCATTTTCATTTTGTGCAAATTTAATTTAGTTTTAAACCTGATTTTAGGGTGAAAAGGTCGTCAATAAGAACATGGCTACACTGGACTACTCTTTACGAGCAATCTTCAACAAAATTGCGGTTGGAGAAAGCGATACTGTAATCCAGACYACGAGCACAGGACTTGCCTGCAGACGCACCMAACCAAAGCAACTTGGAGGACGACCTATCGCCATCAATGGCGCACAAGTTGTGTTTCCTGGGTCTGAGATTCTACTGCATGGCGTCAATACATCATTTGCAGATGTCCAAGTGAGAATAGTATAATGGTGTAAGACAATTGACGATTTAGCAGATAGAGCGACTATATAACGCACGCTATCATTGGTCAGTAAAAAAAAACAAACAATATAACGAGAGCTCTTATTGGTCAACATAAAGAAATAACGTTTTATTGGTCAGCTAGTAAACAAAATATCGCACGCGATTATTGGTCAGCATAAAGACAATATAACGCACGCTACCATTGGTCAGCATGAAAACAGCATAACACACAATATTATTGGTCAGCAAATATGAACCTAGCCATTGGATGTGACGTCAGATCCACTTCATCTGGGGGTCAAAACAAAAGATCTGGAAATGATCCATTAAATCGATTTTAGCGATTTTAAATTCTGTTTGCTTGTTTCAATCGCCGGATGGTTCAAAACCTGACTAGCGTTAATCCAGGGTTAACTTAATAGGCTTTTTTTTAGCGTTAATCGAGTCCATGATAAAAACTGTGCTCTCTGAGTAGTGACAAGTGTTTTTGTTTTTTGTTTTTATTTAATTATTTTATTTTATTTATTTATTTATGTATTTTTGTAGCTTCTTTGGTTTGCCAAATTACAAGCATTACAAGCCCTTAGCCATAAATCTACATAGAAATTTCCATAAAACTCCTCAAGTTACTTTTTACTTTTGTTTTAGATGTTGACGTTACCTGACAATCCTTACACGTGGGACAAAACAAGCCCACAAATCAAGTCCTCCATCGTGGAACTACGGATCAAGGACGACGMGGGACGGACAATCAAAGTGGAAAATCTCCCGGAAGACATCGACATTGTCATCAGCGACGTCAAAGAACCGCCATCAAAGGACCCACCGGTGTATTACAAGAAGGGAGACAATCGCACAATGCAGTATCACACCATAACACACGCTACGAAAGGAGCAACGATTCGACTAGGCATTCATCCAAYAAACGAGTCTGATTTCTTCGCCGCTTTTATCAAGTACGGCACGCGACCAACTGTSGATGACTACGATATGAAGTGGGTTTTTCCTAACTACACGTCGTGTGTTCTTAACAACATGATGAAACCAGTCAACTGTAGTGAAGATCCTTATCAAATCTACATCCCCAGTGAGTCGTTGACTCAACTGGGTTACTACTTCGTGGGTGTGAAACTTGAGCATCAACCCCACGAGGAAGTCAAAGACAGACAGAGAAGAGACTGTGCACCTGGTCGAAGGGTCAAGAGGTCGTGTATTAAGTACAAGGACCCCCCGTCGCCTTTACCAGACAATGGAGCGTACGAAGCTTTCGTCCAGTCGTTTAACGAACGAACAGATCGTAATTATAGTATGGACAGCATGAGCGTTGGATGTAGTTATTGGGACGAGTCGGCGAGTACTTGGACMACTGAAGGATGCAAGGTAGAAACTAAACCTTAACCTAATCATTAAGACTCATTTATTATTACTAATTGGTATTTTACACTTGTGACGTCATGTTTCGTTTGGCGAAWTGCATCATGRTATTGATATAAGTATCAAGATGGCGGATGTCTTCATTGAAAAAAAATTACGACGAAGGAAAAAGTTTCTTTTCAAAATTAACGTCATCCGTAGTCAAGGATGTTTTAGAAAATGATTCAACTGAAAAAACTGTCTAAGAAATAAGTAATTCTTGTTGTTCGAAAAACAGCCTGAAAAACAGCAACATGGCATCAGTTTCGCCTATTCCCTCATTCCCATAGTCCYTTTCGCCGATCCACATCCCACAGTGCATTTCGGCTAAAATCTCATGACGTCACCATTATTATAGCAAACACATTAYTAACAAGTACTTTTTCAGGCCCGTCGACGAAAGCAGTCTTCCCGCCTTTTGTCATGTGGTTGTAGTCACATGACTGCGTTTGGCGGGAGCTTCTTAGTGGCCCCCAATCCCATCGACTTAGACAAGGTCTGGGTTGGCTTTCTCACACCCGAGGACAACATCCCGGTATACGTTACCATGGCAATTGTCTTCTTGATCTATATATTGGCTGTTATTTGGGGAAGAAGGGCGGACAAACGAGACCGACAATCTCAGGTAAAACAGTGRCTTCACGTTAAGAGTATGTCATGATAAGAGGAGATATAACTCAAAACCATGCGCAATTTTTCAAATTTCAAAAATGTACACATAATKACTGAGCTAATAGTCCATTTGGATAAGCCTGTTTGGTCACATGCATGAACTTTATATCTGATAAAGGTCGTCCTTATTAGTATTCTATATATAAAGAATACTAATAAAGACGACCTATATCAGATATAAAGATCCATGATCCTAGAAGAGGTATAAGTTTAATTTATTTGACCAATGCAGTCAAGCAACAAACATATCTACTAGTACATTACTTCATGCGCATTCGATGTGAGAGTAACTTAAATCCCTCTTGAAGAAGAAATCGCTTAATCGCTGCTAATGCTGATATGTTATTTAACAGAGAACCAGTTYTAATTATCTTGTGTTTATCACTGTTAGGATGGTGTAATTATAATGACAAGAATACAAAGCAACAACGTCAAACCCTACAAGTACCAAATCACTATTTACACTGGTAATGGTCGCGGTGCAGGCACAACGGCCAAWGTCTCGGTGATTGTGGTAGGGGAGAATGGRACGAGTGACGTCATACCCATCAGTGATCTCACAAAGGCCAAATTCAATCGAGGATCACAAACACGAACCAYGGTCTACCTCCCTGTGAAATTAGGCCCTTTGCTTTACATCCAAATATGGCACGATAATGGAGGAAGCAGCCCGGCGTGGTTCCTTAGCAATGTCAACATCCGGGATGTGCAAGAGAACGAGGAGTGGGATTTTGTCTGTGATAAGTGGCTGGCAGTGGAAACGGCTGATTGCCGTATAGATGCTTTGCTTTACGTTGCCAACCCTAAAGACTACAACAGCTAYAAGCGTATTTATATCACMAAGACTTCTAGAGACCTGTACGACGGTCATTTGTGGTTCTCCGTGGCAGCCAAACCACCAACAAGTCATTTTACTCGAGTTCAACGAAGYTCATGTTGTTTGTCGCTTCTCTTCTGCACCATGATGACAAATTGTATGTTTTATAACATTACCAACGAGCCAGATAGCACTGTTGTCATCATCGGTCCTTTTAAAGTCTCTCTTCGTGTTTTTGTCATAGGAATTCAAAGTAGTCTTATCGTATTCCCGATAAACTTCCTGCTGACATTTCTRTTTCGAAAGTGCACCGAGTYAGGTGATCCCAAGAAGCTTTCCAAGAAAGCAACAGAGAAAGTYGAGCCAGGTCCMTTTATGCATCTCGAGTGTTGTAAAAACGAAAACAAGTCATTAAGAAGTAAATGCGGAGAGCTTTTTAACAACCGTACTTTATATTACATAGCGTGGGTATTGTGTGTTCTGACAATTTCTACTTCCTTCACCGTCACCATGATGTATACTCTACAATGGAGCAAGGAAACCTCGGAAAAATGGCTMATCTCGTTTCTAACCTCATTCTTTCAAGATGCACTCATCACACAGCCCGTCAAAGTCTTCGCAATAGCAGCATTATTAGCATTTATCATCAGAGAAAGAAAACAAAGCGAGAAAAAGAACAAGTATCGAACACTGAAAAATGCCAGAGAAGAAGACCTTATCAGTATTGATATGAGCTCCGACGCGAGCCATTCAGGCGATAAGGGGATCAAATACAGAGGYAGACCTCCYAACAGAAAGATACTYAAAAATGCACGACTMYTGAGACTGAAAGAGATGAATACTTATGGCGTTGTCAGAGATGTCGTCGGGTATATTGTRTTTATGGTCTTGTTAATGACATATGCCTTCGGCCATATGGATCCGTTGTCTTTTGAGTTTACTAAACAGGTCGGGGATTTATTTAAGCCTCAGTTGGTAAGTAAATAAACATGAAATAGTTTTAGACATAGTTCCCAATGCCATCTTGGAAAGGTAACCTTGCCTTGACAAGCGAAGGCACGGTTACTTTTCAAGTTGGACACAGGGAGCCGTGATGGAGAACAATTTCAAACAAATAATAAGATGAGTGAATAAATGATTGAAATAAAAAAATGAAAGAATGAAGAAATAAATGAATTAGTGAAATATCGAGTAACCACTCTTCTCCAGGAATTTTGACATCCGCATTTTTAAGAATACAGTTTTATGCGAAAAAAACTACTCAGGTCGGATGGGGCTTTTGAAAAAAAAAAAAACAAATAAAAATCCACGTTAAAACACATTAGGGAGTTTTAGATACGCGTTTACGACAAACGCCAAACTTCAAAATTGATCACGTGATCACTGTTTTTCTTTATTAACGCTCCGTTCTTTCGCGATTGTGTATAAAATGGATCACTTTTTCGTACATAAGCGCATCACTATCCCTTTCGAAGCGTTTTTACGTTTGTTTGAAATTTGAGACAAAACATAAAACTGAGCCAATTTGACGTCTGGCGTTTGTAGTAAACATAAATCTAAAACTCTATATTGACTAACTTACCAACTTTTAAGTTCTATTACTTTCTTCAACAACAAACGGTGCCATTCGTTCTATCAGAAACACAACAGCATTGATGCATACTGGAAATGGATGGCAGATGTGGTGGTTCCCCATCTTTTTGCTGGAAAATGGTACAATGGCCAAACTCCTGGTGAAAACGAACAAGATTTAATCTACGATCGAGCGTCTGTGCTTGTAGGAATGGCCAGACTACGCCAGCTTAGGGTGAAGGAAGGTAGGTTCATGACAATAAATGATGGAGATGGTAGTGTTGATGGTGATGATGATGAAATTCGACTGTAGCGGCGTCAGCTCCGTGGGGTAGGAGAGATCCGTGAAAACTTAAAGGCCCAGTGTGCACCATTATGCTTTGGAAGCCGCGAGGCGGCCATTTTCAGTTTACCGAACTATAAATTGTACTGTGCGTTTCGAATCTTTGACAATTTCACTTTTCTAAGCACTTTAAACGCTAATATAAGAGTTTTCAATCATCTGAAATTCGATCGTTTTATGGTGATATTTGGATACTAGAAGTATTTTGGTGTAAATCATAACAATAACAGAGGCGCGCAAAGCATAAATGTGCAAACTAGGTCTTTAAGTGAAGTGAAACACGAATACCACAAGGCTTGTYTATTGCGTAAACGTTGGGCGAAGGCTGTGTTTAGCTTCTAGTTTGTGACAATGTTGAAACCCGTCGAATTTCTATGAGCTTAAGAGCTTACAAAAATGTCGTTGGCGGTATAAAAGCTGATATYACGTGACTGCAAGCTGTAACATATATGCCAGTGACGTAAAAGATTATAAATACGAATTACACAATACATTTTTAGGCATATGCCGTTACAATGATGATGACGATGATAACTAAATCTTGCTGTTCATTTTACAGAAAAGCATGACRCAATAAACCCTTGGTCTCGAGCAAGCTATGACTCCTACAGTATCCTAAATGAAGACAAAGACTTCTATCAGCCAAAGTGGAAGCCATTATCCCCAGGCATGACAAAGTACAACGTTACATTACAAGTTTGTCCTCTTCATTGGAGGTACCAAGACCAACTCGCCCTGGACGGAATACCATTCTGGGGACGAACAGAATTATACTCAGGGGGTGGGTACGTRGCAGACCTTGGTTATTTCAAAGAAAAGGCGTACCCTGTTCTCACTGAATTGTCYAGTAAAAACTGGYTGGACAGACGAACCAGAGCCTGCTTCCTGGAATTTGTTATTTACAATGCTCAAAAGAAYTTATTTAGTGCGGCGACTATACTCATTGAGTTTCTTCCAACTGGTAGTCTTTTACCATACAGTAGGATAGATACGCTAAGGRTATACCGGTACGTAGGAAAGTACTCCGATATTTTYAAAGTTACGGAGATGGTTATCGCGCTGGTGATGGTATTCCTGTTGTACAAGCTTGTMAAGAATATTTACAAACAAAGAARRAGCTTCTTCAAGTTTTTCTGGAACTGGGTTGATTTCCTTCAAGTAGTTTTTGGTCTCGTAGCGATAACTTTGTATTTTGTGAAAATGGTCGTGCTTAATAAGACAATGGATGATCTTAAAGAAAACCCGTTTGTCTTTGTGAACTTCCAGTATACAATCTTCTTGAATGAAGTCAATAATTACTTCGTGGCCGCGGTTGTGTTTTTAACTACCCTCAAGTTCCTGTGCCTACTGAAATACCAAAGTTATATCAAACTCCTGGAGCACGTGTTTGCAAGTTTTGCATACAACATGAGTTGGTTTATGTTGGAGTTTCTGCTATGGTTCATGCCGTTCGTACTATTTGCTTATTTTATTTTTGGTCCGCACTTGTATCAGTACAGTACAGTGGTATCGGCGTTTGAAAGCACKTTGAATTCTCTACTSGGAGCTAAATCATTTTACCAATTGGAAGAGACAGATCACCTAATGGGACCAATACTGTTCATTGGGTTTAACCTCTTAATGGTGCTTGTTCTTCTTAACATCTTCATTGCGATTATCACATCGTCTTTTAATCGTGAACTCGACGATGAATTCACACGACAAACCAAGCCGGAAATCATGTTAATATTCAACCAACAGCTACAAAGATTATTTGGCTTTGATTTGAGGAGGAATACRCCACCTCCTCCGTTGATATTCGACRACACGGACACCGAAACCTCAAATACCGAGGATGAAGAAGTCTCCAAAGACGTACTATCTCCCAAATGTGTGCATCGCATGAAGAATCGCATGAAGAAAAAGAAGGAAAGAATTATGGAGTCTATTAATGACGATATAGTTTGTAAGATTGATCGAATAGACAGCAAGGCGTCGAAAATACTGACCATGGAAGAACTCGAGAACAGACTTTACGAACTGGTAATGGTGGCAAACAAAATGAAACGTTTGAAAATTCATTTTAGAGAATTATCAAACACCTGATTTGTCGCTCATTGTTACCTTCTCCTTCGTTTTACCYTTTTGGGGTCATTCAGGTATCCTTTTGGGTGTCAGTCTCCCTCTCCCTGAGTAGGACAGGAAGCCCAAGAGTATAAAGAAAAAGAGCGTTAAGGGAGAGAGGCGTCTGTAGAGGAAGCGAGTATTGCTCCATTGGCTGGGCATTCCACCTAAGCGTACAGATTAGATAGGAATGGATGCAAAAGGTGATGAAMATTTCGCATTCAAGTCATTTCCATTCATGAAAACGCACACCATGGCGGCCATTTAGGATATAATACAAAACAAACGAGTTAAATGGAGATTGTTTCGTTATCTTCGTCCAACATGGCAGCTTTGAAGAAACGCACATCACGAAGTTTCATCAAAAGTCGTAACACTTATGGTATCTAAGGATTTTTTTTTCCTGCAATGACGTCTTCGAAAATTCATTATGACTCACGCTTCACCTGCGTGTACATTGACGTATTCTAACTATACTGCCAGTCACGCGAGGACATGCTGTCACGCAAAGTGCCTACGTCATGCGAGTCTCGTCACCAGTCACGATAATCGTGACATTTTGTCACGTTATGACGTCATTCAATCACGCTCGGTCACGATGGAGTAATACTTACAGGGGTGGGAGTAATACTTACAGGGGTGTAGTGGAGTTGTTTGTTTATACCTTGTTGTGATGGAAACCATGGGTTTACATCCCAAATAAATGTTCTTTTGCAAAGAAAAATTTGAAAAAGATATATTTTATATATTTGTATGAAATCAATTGAATTTATGAAAAATTTTGATTGGATAAAATAAAGTTATTCTTAAAATATACATTTTTTTGTTTTTCATATTGTTAATTGCAAGCATAACATGTCATCGTTGTACAAAATGATTCTATTTGTTTTGGTTTTTCGTTCAAGAAAACAACAACAACGCAAGGAATCGATGCATTTTTACGAATTTGGAGTTTTTGAAGTACTGTTCACATGATTGCTAAATTATGGTAATGTCTCTTCTCTGTTTTGAACAGAAAGCATTTTTGCCAAACTAAACATTCTTCTAGTTTTTATTAACCAAATCATGCTAAAAACATGACAAAATGGAATAATAAAATAACATATAAAATATCGTGTAAAAAAGTGCATTTCGTGAGAGAAGAAGCCAACAAATTAGGTTGCTTTTCACATAATTCTAATCCCCTGAGACCAAAATTGCCATATTAAATAGTGTCATTGGAAATTAGAAAGGCACGGAAACTTTCATCTTTAGCATTTCGACCACTTTGAATTATATCATTCATAGTTACGTGTATTTATAGTCTACAACTACGTTTCTACGGAAGACGTGGTACAGGCTGTTGAAGGGGGGCACCGATCACAAATCACGGGTCAATTTTTCGCAGGGTTCGCATTGGTACTGTTACATAACCTTCTCAACCATAAGCAACGTGACCGGTAATCCACGAGAAGGGGAAGATGGGACATAGTAGTGGACTTTTCATTCCACCAAATCGATAGATAGATAGATAGATAGATAGGTAGATAGATAGCTTTAATAATAAAATCACATGCCAGCCAAAAAGGCTGAATTGCATGATATTTACAAGAATAAATAGATATAAGATATGGAATAATAATGATAAAATTCTTAAAATCTGACAACGTTCAATAAACCAATGCAATGTGTAATGATCGTCGCTGTGTAAATAATAATCTAAGCGATTATTAATAAAATGCAAGCCGAAATGAGAGAAAAAATTGAAAAAASAAAATTGCAGGTATGGATGGTTTCGGGATAACAAACGATCAGTCGAAACGATTCCTGCGTTATTATAATCGAATGTCCCGCACCTTGAGAGTTCTATACCTACTATASCTACTATAGCTACCTGCCTGCGTAGTAAATAAGGGGCAGGGATATCAAAATATGATAGTTATTAATAGTTTACAGTCAAAGGACATGAAGCGCACCCCCCGAATAGTTCGTTATTCAATGCATTATTGTTTTTTTCATTTTATTTTTTTCGTTTTCAAACTTCAGTTGATTAATGCAAAATTAAATTCAAATCTCGAACTCTGATAATGACAGAAAACAACACAGCATTTCCAGCTTTTTGAGACCGTCATTCCTTTCTCCCGAGAAGGAACAAATCCAACCAAGTAAAAAACAGCATATTGCAATGCATTGACTTGTGGAAATTACAAAAGACCAGCATGTTTACAAGCGAAATACGAAGAAGGCTTTACGAAAATCCGATCAATAATCCAATCAATTTTCGAAGTTTGAATTCAAATTTGATTTCAATAATGTAATTTTGAATCGACCAAGAATCGAATTGACGAGTCTGCCGCTCCGTCGGGGTTCTCGCGGCCTCCACTTTGAGGGGTCGCTTTTCAGGTATTTTGACTGTAAAGGGAGACCCATAGTTGGATTCTGACTATATAGCCGCGTAGCCACTTTACATAATAATACTTCATTCTATAACAAGACACA